TTCAGTGATAAAGGGCTTATAGGTAAAAATTCCAGTGCAGCACCAACTGGTATATCACTGAAGGCTCACTTTATGTATGGACAGATATTGCATATCCATTGGATCTGCAAGGAAAGCTGTAGTCTTAGCTAGTAGATTACAGCCTGATTAGAAAAAGGAAAAAGTTCTAGCAATGAAAAGGCAAGAGAGGGAAGAAAATGCTTGCCTTTTCTGGTATTTGTAGAGGACCACATCGCAGGGGATTCCTACTAGAACAGAGACATACTACATTACAAGATCACAGAATCATAGAATCACAGAATGGTTTAGGTTGGAAGGAACACTAAAACCCATCTAGTTCCAACACCCTTGCCATGAGCAGAGACACCTTCCACCAGACGAGGTTGCTCAAAGCCCCATCCAACTGGCCTTAAACACTGCCAGGGATGGGGCAGTCACAACTTCTCAGGGCAACCTGTGCCAGTGCCTCACCACCCTCAGAGTGAAGAACTTCTTATTTCTGACCTAAATCTCCCTTCTGTCAGTTCAAAGCCATTCCCCCTTGCTCTGTCACTACATGCCCTTGTAAAAGGTTACTCTCGAGCTTTCTTGTCGGCCCCCTTTAGGCACTGGAAGGCTGCTTTAATGTCCTGCCAGAGCCTTCTCTTTTCCAGGCTGAACAAGCCCAACTCCCTTAGCCTGTCATCACAGGACAGGTGGTCCAGTGCAGATGCCAGAAGTATAAATATTTTAGTTTTATTTCCAAATAAGTACTAAACTTTAAAGTTGATCTACAATATTTAAGGTGGCTTTTTATTTTGCCCCTGTACATTTGAAATTGCTGGGCTAGGTTAAAAGATACAAAGCTTCACATTTGGGAAGCTTAATGTATTCACAGCAAACATTCTCCAAAACATGGCTGGTCTTTAAGGCATTACCTACCTTCCTTGAATTACCTATGAAATTATATAGAAATATATGTAAATAAATAGTTAAGAGAAGAATTCAAACAGATGACTGTAACTACAAATAGTAAAAAATAACCTTTATTCCCATTAAATATAGACATATATTACGCACAACTGAATAAAACTGACAACAGTGACTAGAAACCTAGTACCACAGCAGCAAGCAGCCAGAGAGCTCCTATGGAATGTTTGAGGGGTAGGTAGACTGGTAGCATACAGCTTCTGTGTCGTGTATGTTACTCTTTTTTTATATGTTATTCTGTAAAGCAGACATTATTATGCAAAAGGATAAGACAGACCACTGCCAAACTGTGACCCACAGAGCAAGGCAAAGACCAGCTCTGATTCTTGATAGCTGTGGAACAGACTTGTGTTAGAGGCAAGTGTAAAGGAATAGCAGCTTTAGATGACAGAAGGTGAAATAAGAATAAAGCAAAATTAAAAAATAAAAAAATAACAGAATACAGCAGCCATTAGGAAGAATAAACAGAGGAGACAGAAGTTCTAGCAGTGAACATGCTAGAATATAGAGGCATACTGTATTATAAGACGCAGAAAGTATAAGGCACCTGTCAGTCCTGAAGCGGAAAAGATTTTGGTGGGAACTGCACTGCCTGTTCTTTATGTCAGAATATATGTCTTTGCCAGATATTTGCTGAAAATGATCAAGAATTGTATAAAAAAGAAGAAGCAGCAGCTCAGTATACCTTGTGGTTTCCAAAGGGTGAAAGAAATATAAGAAAAGACTTTTTTTTTTTTTCCTATTAACATAATCCTTAACATCATTATTAGCAAAACTTCAGGGTATCCAGCTTCTGGAAGAATTAAAAAACCAAATTATTACTTTTTTAAAGGACTTATCTTAGTAGCAGGGAAGTAGCTTACTGCAGCTGAGACTTACATAACCAGCTGGAAGGACATTAAACTTGCAAGTCAGGGAAAAAGACTGGGAGAGGATCATACACCCTTTCCACACCTAGTGCGCAAAGTATGGAAATCAGGTATATGACCATGCATCACAGAATAAAAGAACACACAGGAGTGACAAGGAAAAGAATACAGCTGTTTGCATACTGTGCAGAGGCACGTAAGAATGCCCCCAAAATGTCCATATACTAAATACTACAGTGTTTGTATGCAAGGAGCTTTGAAAATGGAATGTTAGATTAGGGGTTGCTGGTAAAGTCTCAAATCAGATATTAAAGGATTGACCAAAACACAGCAGAACAGTAGTCATGACTAGAATACAGAAATTAAAGGAAATAAATAAGGCTGCTTATAAAAGAGGACATGTGGCAGCCCAGCTTCAAATGTTTGTGAGGTGTTCAATTAAAGACATTAAAAACAAAATTTGCTCAAGACAGTAAAGATGCCTTTGACAGACACTATTGAGGGTCTGTTATGAAATCAAGATCAAATTTAGACATGGCTTATATTAGTTAAGATTATGGGAGAAGCACAGTGAAGGAAATGTATAGCTGTGTTTTCTCAGGCTGAAAAATCTCAAATATTCCTAAAACCTACAGATCATAAAAGCTGTGCTGGACTAAGTACTTAGAAGAGTTCCTTCTGAGGGTGGACAGCTGGAATCAAGCAGCATCTTCCAATCTTACATTTTTATGCTTGTAAAAACGCTCATTAGAAGAAGTCATGTCAGATCACATTTTCTTTGTATGTTTAGTATGAAAGACATCCACTGTTGTTTCATGACAAGGTCGCAAGTCAAAATCACAGTATCCAATGCTGAAACGACCCTGTGGTAATTAACAGAATGGACATGGTGAACATAAAATGAGCTCTTCTACAGTCTAAGTTAATTAAAGAGATCAAATCATTCTTACCTGTGGCCTCTTAAAATAATCAAGACCCCTTCCAATCTTAATCATCCATCCATTATTGAACCTGTTTTAAAAATTCACAAATTTGAATACTATGAGTATGTTGAATAAAAAAAAGTTATATCCACATGATGCACACTCTCCTTGTTTCAATCACAATTATTTCCTAGTATCACCAATACCTGTATAAACCATGGAAAGGACTGTTCTGTATAAAGAGAAATCTACTATTATGTTCACAGTTAGAACATGTGAAACTATCAAGGGCTGATTTTGTTCAGGAAGGGCCACTGCCTTCCACTCTTTTAACCACAGATGTAATTAGAAATTGTCTCAAAAGTTAGGATTAAGCAGTTCAAATAACTCACATTCACTGGTTTTTTTTATATCACCTACCTAATTTCTCGATCATGGATTGAAGATGAAAATGCAATATTCAGTGTTACTCCATAATTCCTCAATGATTGTTGTATTTCATCCAAGCCAGTTATCTGCTGGCTCTTCCCACTACCCTGTTAAAAGTAAAAATCACATGTTGTTGGGGGGAGTTTTAACCATAAATTCTACTTCCTATCACTCTTCCTAAACTCACCAAAAGTTTTTTAGTAATAACTTAAACCAAAATAAAGTAACTTGGATGAAGGCAGATTTGCAGTTTCAAAGGCAGGATAAAAAGCAGAAACAGATTATAGGTACATTTGCTCATTCTCAGACCTTTGAAACTAGATATGAATTACTATTTGAGCCAGAATAAATATAGTGATAGCTCGTGATAGTTAGCTCATCAAAGCCTCTAAATTGACAACTATATACAACTAGCTGTTGGAAGAGAAAAAAAGCCCAACTCTCAATAGATGCTTTAGTTTTGATGACCTTTTCCACAAGAAAGCTTTCAAGAAAATATCTTTTCCATTTAAGATTCTGTTTACCAAGAATTTGTTAGTTATAAGAAAACTCTAAATTTATAAAATTACTTATGTTCAATTATCACATTTTTATTTTTCTCTTAATCTGTGTTTTCTGCTGAAGGCATCAGAGCCTCAGTCTCAGAAGTACTCGTGATAAAAAAATCTGTATTTAAAAATAAGTATTTAATATGCATATAAATTTATATGTGTGCATATTCACATGTGTTATCACCTGGGTATTGGGAAATAGAAACCAGAACTTATACACTTACCTCATCGTAGGAAGTGAGGAGGTGGATCGTTTTCACTTTGCACGGCCCCTTAATCAGCATCTCACAGAACCGCAGGAAGTTATACAACTGCAAAAGTTTTATTTAATTTAGTAACTTGGAAATGTTTTAGCAGTTACATCCATATCAGTTACACCGAGTATGTACTTGCCTGATGAACACTCCGAATGTACGGGTCCTCCACCCAAACTTCAGAAACAATCTCAGAAAGGTACTCTTGGAAAACCTTTTCATAGCTGAAACCTGTTGCATTTTCCTCTATCCTGATCTGCTTATGGTATTTGCCATCTAAAAGGAAAAGGACTCTCTTTTTTTCAGTAAAGAACAGGACGCCGTTTCCGTGTTACCTACCTCACCCATAAAACGTTTAGACAGCAACACGTATTCAAATGTTTACAGGTACATGGCATCTCCATACCTTGTTTCTCTTTTTCAATGTGTTTCTTAATGTCCTCAGCTCTGGTCATATACTCGGATATTTTCTGCCGGTATCGGTGCTTTTTGGTCTCATCTTTCGTGGCTGTCAATCAAAAGCACAAACAAAAGTTCTCTCCCTCGCCATGAAGCGACGAGGGTTTAGGGTCGGCCCTCAGCACCAGACAGACCTCATTTCTCCGCCAAACCACTCCTCTCACAGAACCGGGGGGTGTTTAACAACTAACCGCCTCAACGGCTCTGGCAAACGGCCGCCAACCCTCTCGCCCGGTACCTTTCACCACCTGCAGCAGCAGGTCGATGCCCTCCTGGTAACACACTAGCGACTCCTGGAACCGAGACGCTACGTCCAGCTCTACCGCCCTCTTCACCGTCTCCACCCCGGCCCGCTCCAGCACGGCAGTGCTGTCGCCCCCCGTCCGCGACATGGGCGCAGCGGGGGGGACCGGGACGAGGCGGCCACAGATCCCACGGCACCACCTCACCCGCCGCCGGGGAAACAGAAACCGAAGCGGCAGCAGAGGGAAGGTGGAAGTGCTCATTATTGCCGTTCCGCCAGTGCGGAACTAAAGTGCCGTGGAGTTGGTGGCCGGCCGGAAGGCAGCGCACCGAGATGGCGGCCGCGGCGGGCAGGGGGGCCCTGGGGCCCGCAGCCGCTTGGAAGGTAGTAGCCTGGGCTGGGGTTTGTTTGGTTCGTGCTTCCTCTTGACAGGCGAGCGGCAGTTGGAAGGTCCGAGGAGCCGGTGTGGGTGCCCGGTGTGAGCACTGTCTGCTCTTCAGCCACCTAGAGCTGTAGTAAAGGGGGGACGTGTGCTCAACCGGGCCGCGTTTGAGTGACCGAGTAACCTTTTAGCAAACACGAAGAGCTGTAAGGAAAGCGCAAGACAAGTTTTGCCCTGTTCGCTTTACAGATGCTGGGGAAGAGGATGGAGGCGGTGGCACCCGCAGCGTGGGTTCGTTGTCTCTTTACGAAGTCAAGAATTCCAGACTCGGTATGTGCTTAAGTATTCGAGAGACTGGAAAATAGGTATTAGCCTGCTTAATTTGGGTTTTCTGTGGTATGACAGATTTCCAGAGGCTGTGGGATAAGAGGGTTTGTATTGGGATGATTGAAGAACTGGCTGAAGACAGAGCCCAAATGGTTGTAGTGAATGGGGCTGGTGAACCGGTCGCCAGCCACGTTCCTCAGGGTTCAATTACAGGGCCAGTTCTGCTCAATGTTTTTGTCAAGGATGTGAATGCAGGAGTTGAATGCACCATTAGCAAGTTTGTTACTGATACCAAAGTGGGAGGTGCGGTTGACTCTTGAGGGATAAGAGGCCTTGCAGAGGGATCTAGATAGACTGGAGCACTGGGCAGTCGTCAGTGGCATGAAATTTAATGAGTTGAAATGCAGGATTCTGCCACCTAGGAAAGTGACACCGGGCACTTGATGTTATAAAAGCTAAATTTGAGGTCACTTGTTGGTGCTTTGACCTTATGAGAAGATAGTTAAACATGGTTTTGTGAACTTCTAATTCTAGGTATTTCAGCCACGACCTGGAGATCATGAGAAGTATGGAGGTGACCCTGAGCAGCCCCACAAGATCCACGTTATTACTAGAATTAAAAGCGTAATTGGTCGCCCTTATTGGGAAAAGAAGATAATACATGATCTTGGATTGGATAAAGTATGACTGTTGTTCTTTATACTTATTGTGTATATCAGAAATGTAGAAATAGGCTATAATTAAGGTGGTGTTTTTCTTAAATTTTTCTCAATTTTGCAGTTATAAAACCTGGATTGCTTTACATTGGCTATAAATTGAGAAATTGATGTGTTTGAGAGCCAAGAGGAATGTTAATGGAAAATAGCCTTTTAGTAGGAATTCAGAGAATCACTGTTTGGTATTGCTCTGCATGCCTAAGGTGAACTTTTATCTTTAGACTTCTGCTAAAATGATAAAAGTAGATTTGTAAATACTTGTAATTCAGTTTTCTCTAGGTCATATTGTTCAAATATTACAGGTACATGAATAAGACTTGTGTGTTAATGAAAAGCCTTCCAAATCCAAGACTCTTAGAGAGCTTATTGTCAAAGACGTGTTTATCCAGATTTTTTAGAGCAGCTGCACATTGCGCAAAGATTCGTCTAGTCAGTGTTACATTACAGAAAAAGAAGTGTGTGCTTGGTCAGTTTAAGGTCTAACTGAGGCAGTTGTACCCCAGAACACCTGTATTTACATTACTTTTCATATAAATACATTACTTTTCATGTAAGTACATTACTATATTTACAATACTTTTAACAGTTGGAAGAAATTTTAATATATTGAGAATGTAATGGGAATGAAGCTGAATATCATTTTACTGTAATAGAGTTTGATCAAGTTTTCATATTTTTATTTATGTTCTTGATGCATGACATTTTTTACTTACTATATTTGCAAATGTGGTCTATAATTTTACTGTCAGTATGAGAAGTTGAATGATCAGAGATTTGGGGTTTGGCAATGCATTTGTAAAACCCGTTCTGTCCTTTATACAGGCACATCGGCCGATACTGCACAAAAATATCCCTTCTGTAAATTCCAAACTGAAAGTTGTTAAACATCTGATAAGGTTTGTTAACTATGCTTAATTTAGAGCATTTAATGTAACTATTCTAGTCACAGAACTTCACTAAGCAAACTCTTTTGTCTGTAGAATACAGCCCCTGAAACTACCTTACGGGTTGCCAACAGAAGAGGAAATGACAGACACCTTTCTTACAAGCAAGGGAGAGCTTATCATTAAACGGCATCTGAAACCTGTGGAGCAGAAAGCAATTAAGTCATAAGCTGTGCTGGTTGGATTTATGTAAAATAAAGTAGATTATTTAAATCCTGGGTTAAGATTTTGTGTATGAAATGAAAGCTTAATTCTTCCCCTCTGGTATGAATGGTTAAGGTGATATTGATGCTTAAAGAAGTGTGTACAAATGTAAAATTCAATTTTGTTATTATTTGCCCCAAATATTAAATGAATGATAGGCCTATGTCCTTGTGTTGAAATTTTGTGGCTAAATGTGTGCAGTTGATGGCTTGCTATTAAAGAACTTTGTAAATAAAGTCAGAGAAGTAAGTAGAATATATCTAACTAATGATGGTGAGGATATTTTGAGCTAACAGTAACAGGTTTACAATGATGATGCATGACTTTGGTGCACAAAGGAAGAAACTGGAGTTGAAAAGCTCACTGCTTAGCAGTTACACAAGAACTGACTGGCTATCCACCAAGAGTGTAATTTGATTGACACAGGCTTTTCATAGAATTATAGAATGGATTGGTTCGGAAAGGACCTTGAAGATCATCTGGTTCCAATCCCCTGCCACAGTCAGGGACACCTTCCACTAGACCAGGCTGCTCAAAGCCCCATCCAGTCCTTAGCTAACAGTCTGTCATCTTACTACCTGAACTCCCCACTTAGAATTAACAGAAGGAGTGATTCATATCATGGTAATTTGTATAATTTGTTTCTCAGGGAATGTGCTATCTCACTTGATACATATTTCTTGATCCTAACTGTTTAATAATAATAGCCTAAGAGTTGCAGTCTGTGTATAAGTTGATGCTTTTCCTGTTCTAAAATTGCAGACATCAGAAACCTGGAGACCCTGAAACACACATCTTCAGTGCAAGTTAGTAATGATGGGCTGCAAGCTTATAACACCTTTTCCTGAAGGATCTTGAGTATTACTCTTCATGTTTTTGTTTACAGTTTTGAGAATCGTGGCCAAAGTTAGGAAGCTGCTGCTGTATCAAATGATAAAGCAGTGTTCATTGTAGTGAGCATAAATGCCACAGTTCAACACAGTGTGAGCCTCTCCCACGCTACACACAATGTAGAGAAGTTAATCTTAATGACTGTATGTTATGAGAAGATTAGAAGGATACAGTCACTGAAAATGAACATTTATCCTTTCTGCATGCTTCCAGAGAAGAATAAACACCAGTAGGAGTTCAAAGGAACAGACATCAGTAGAGGGACATAAAAGCTGGAGACACTGTGAGGAAGAGAAAGAAGGATAGGATATAGTAGTAGCACTGAGGAGATTGGTGGGTCAGTGATTCCTACAGGCAGACTGAAGGCAGAAATGCACAGCTGAGCTGAAAAACCTCAATTTCTCAGCAAGCTATGGGCTATAATTTGAAGGACACAGAAAATACTGGTGTCAGTCTGATGTACACAGAATAGCAATGAACAAATGAAGCAGATAAATTGATGTTGCCTTCCGGCCTTCCTGAGCCTGCATAGCATCTTGTGCTGCAGTGTGTTATAACTGTAATCTCTGTGTGATGCTGATCCGTGTGTGATGGTGTTCCTACAGGGAGGTACTTGTTACAAGCTGAAATTGTGAGTGCAGTGCATCCAAGGTACAGGGCATGCTTAAAAGAGATGGCACAAGTACTAAGGCCCAGAAAATTACTTAAATGGATCTTGTTGCTGAGGGATAGCAAATATAAGACTTGCACCAGGAATGGTGGCACAGAACACTAAAGCCAGGATGGCTCAGCTTTGCCAAAGACGTTCAGGGTTTGTCTGAGGCACTGCAGCCAACAGAGGGAGTGCTGCCAGTTCTGTCATACACAGTATGTGTGTGAATATCAATCTATTCTATTCATTACACTATACAGGTGCTACAAAAGTACTGCAGTGTAAACCAAAGAGAATGTGTTAATGAACGAGCTTCCTTGGTATGGTGCCCAACTTAGAAAGTGTGTGATAAACTACCTAAGTTAGAGCACAGCTAGTAACTTTCCCAAGTACAGAGAAGAGAATGCTTTAGATAGTACCTGTTATTTCTGGTGTTTACAAGAGGTGTTTACAACTATCTTTGACAAGTTGTCAGTTTTAATGAAAAATAAAATTGTATTCTCTTGAAACATTTAATCTGTGCGTTAGTCTGGGAGTTCCTTAAATGGTATTTCCTCCAGGGTCACAACTGTCACATAGTCAAGCTGCTATCTCAAACCTTCTCTGAGTAAGCATACATTCTGTAAAGATTTGCACTCAGTTCCACAGCCTGAACCAGCAGGGCGCACAAACACAGTGTGTGTGTCCACAGCCTTTCATTAATGGAGCATTGTAAATGTTTCATGTAAATCTTCACGAAGCACACGTAAGGGATGCAGCCTTTTTGTGCAGGGAGCAAACAGGCTGACTTAGGATCATAGCAAAATTCAGGTTGGAAGGTACCTCGCAAGGCTTTAGTCCAACCTCTTGCTCAATGCAGGGCCAGCACTGAGGTCACAGCATCATAGAATATAGAATGGTTAGGGTTAGAAAGGTTGCTCAGGACTTTGTCCACCGAGGTCTTGAAAACCTCAGAGAACAGGGACAGCTCAACCTCTCTGGACAGCCTGCTCTGCTGCCTGGCTGTCCTCATGGGGAAAGGTTATAGGCAGAATACAGTCTTGTATGCAGTCTGAATGTCTCTTTCAGCTTATGCCTGTTGTCACTTCTCTTCCCATCTTGCACTACTGGGAGGAGCCATCCTGGCTCTGTTCTCCTCAATTATCCCTCACAGGTAGGTGCTGTGGTGCTGCTGTTAAATCCACCTGTCCCTTCTCATGGGATGATTGCTCCAGCCCCAGCTATCTTGGTGGCTCTCTGCTGAGTTCTCTCTGCTTAATTGGTCTCTCTTGTGTTAGGGGGCTCAAAACTGGACACGATTGTAAATGTGGTCTAACAAGTGTTTAGCAGAGGTGTGTAATCCCTTCTCTTGGTCAAGCTGTGCTGTCCATACAGCCCATGGTACCCTTTGCTGCTTGGGCACACTGCTTGCTCATATTGAGCTTGCTTCTTGGGTAGGAACCATTTGCCATGTCTACCTGCTGTAGTATTTATATTCAAATCCTGGTGCAACATGTGGTAGCAATGTGAAATGGGCTGGCTTAAGAATAAATTTCTATTTCTGTGCTATTGCTCTGTTGCAGGTTCACTGACTGTTTCAGATTTGGTAGTTAATACTGTAGTGTAAGTAGATCAATGCCAATAATAGTATCAGGATATTTTTAATCACAGGTAAAAATGCTGGCTGTAAAAAATGCACCGTATTTGAAACAAATAAACAAAACCCCCTCTTTCTTCTCTAGGGAGTTTCCCTGGATCTCTGCTCCAGTTCTTCCACTTCTCCTTCCTCTCCTCCTTCTTCTTTCTTCTTTCTTCTGTACTTCTTATCCTTAGGGGGCTGGAGCTGTTACAGAATTGGATTCCAATGCATACAGCAAATGGTTAGAGGTTGTACGGGTGAGCACACAACCTGGCAAACAAGTGAGGTGTGAATGTAGGCATGAATAATGAAGCAAGATCCCCCACTAGGCAGGCCCCTGTGGTGCATGAGGGGTAATTAACCTAACTATGTAGCTGCAGCCTACAGGCCCCTGTGCTTAGTTAAAACAAAAGAAAAAAAATGTTTTTGAAACATGATTTTTTATCTAAAGTATAAAATAGAAGTAATTAATCTCTTCATTCCCAAGAGAGCACTGGGAAGCAAGCAGCTGTTTCACAGTGCAAAAGCAGCTTGCTTATGTCCTGACACTCACCAGGGTCCTTCCCCAGTGCAGGGAGCTGATAGCAGGGTCAGCTTTGTTCTGGACAAAGAGCTGGGTGAAATGTTCAGGGATTGCCTTTCAGTGAGGGCCACTGCTGCTCTTCTGTCTTTCTGCTGCAGAAGAAAGATGCATTTTGTGTTTATAGGAAGGTTGATCATACTTGCATTAAACCAAATGCATTTCTGTGGTCACCCCAGGCATCGTTAAGCACTGTCCCAGTGTGTGACTCTTGAAAGATAATACCAGGAATCAGTCACAGCTGGATCAACACGCTGGCTGTTGCCAAATTTTGTAATCTTGACTTGGTGTTCTTTCATGTCTTCCAGATCTTCTGCAATCTTCTCTGTCACTGCCTGCGTAGCCAATGGAGAAAGGTACCTCCAAAAGTTGGGTTTTCTGTTCCAGAAGAAAACAGTATCTGAGAGAGTCAGAAGAAATATACACTACTTCCTGGCTCCAGCTTGCTTAACCATAGGTACCATCAACAAGAAAAAAATCAAAAGAGAAACATCCTTCAATTACATCCATTACAGTTTATCTGACTTGCAATTTGTTTGACTTGCCATTTATCTGCATCTTTCTGTTGTCTAAGCACGCTGCTGCAGAAGGCAAACAAGCAACCAGCAACTGAGGGGAACAATGCTAACCTGATCCCAGCAGCTAACGGAAACCAGACTTTGGTATAGTGAATCATTTACAAGAATATTAGGCAAACATCACAGACCTGACATATTTGCTGCACGACAACTTCCCCCATCTCACCGCACTTCCTAGAGACAAATGGGCTTTTTCTCTGCTGGCAGCATTTTGGAGCAGCTGGCCCAGTGCATTTCCCACATGCCACAGGTATTACGGGAAACAGGAATGCCTGACAACTTGCTGTGCGTTCTCCCAAGCACAACAGGGTTTCTGCTATACAGCACAAACACAATTACGATTAAAAAGATTAAATACCTTTTAATTTAATTTGAAACCCGGTTGTTATCAGTGTGGACTTAGGGTGAGCCTTGCCTGAAAACAGCTGTCCCCCTTCAGCTGTTGGAAGCAACAACATGAGAAAGTGGGGACCTCCTCTTTTGGCTGTAATAAGGTTTTTGCAGGTGAAGACCCAGCAACAATAAAATGACACTGCTGACAATTTGGATATGCAGAGACTACACCAGGTCCCTGTTGTTATCCCTGCTTGTACATCAATGACAAAGGTGTAGGCACAAATCCAAATTATCAGGTAACGTGGATCAAAGCTACTGTAGCTCTTCAGCAGTAAGGAAAGTAGCCACTGGATGGCAGACGTCCATATCAGTGCTAATCTATCCTGACATGTTTCTTCCACGTGGTAAATTCTGTGAGGGTGAAATGCTGTGTCACTCTTACATCAGCGCTTTAACATTCTAAGCTGGGGAATCCTGTCCCATTGTGTTGAAAGATTCAATTCTCTAAGTTTTGCCTGCACCGTTAAAACCTCCCATCGAGAGCCAGCTGCAAAAAGTCACATCAGCCCATGCATGGATGTTCATGATTACGTGTGACTTTAAAGAACATTGAAACAGAGGGAAGTACGTCTGGCAGGAAGGAAAATAGAACAGGGATGGCTCATACAGAAATGACATTAAAAAAAAAAAACCCACAAAAAAAAACCCAAACAAAAAAAAAAAATTCAAAATGCCACTGAAGATGATTCACAAACCAGTAATCTCCAAGTTCCCTTACTGCTGGGGAGAATTGGAAAGGAGGTACTAGTTTGCTTCTTCTACATCACATTAATTGACACAGGCAGGTAGATCTGCTGTGTTCTGGATCCTACCCAGAAATCCTTGCTTAACCATATATGCATGCACAGAGTCTACATGCCCAGGGAACTGTTTTCCTCAACAAACCTGTATTCAGAGTACTAGGGGAGAATAGCATGTCTGCATGGTGGGACAACCTGTGCGACATCAAGCAGGGTGCAGCTCACAGGCTTCAGCAAAAGCTCCAGAGCTGCTGTAGGCTTGGGTCTCCAGGGACAAAGATCGTGCTGTGACTTTTGTCAGTGCTCTTTGCAGCATCTCTTTCTTGTCTCATCACTCGCTTGCCATGGAGGAGGCAGTATGCAAGCCACACAGTGTTGCGGTCTCTCCTGCTATGTCAGGGGTACAGGCAGTTTTGAGGTTTTGGGCAGCCTCAAAACTGTCCCAGATCATGCTTTATGTCCAGGATTTGTCTTATACTCACTGTTAATTGAGGTGTTCAGCAACCTCCAATTCAGATCCAGCTCATCTTACTTTTTTATTTGTCTTTCAGAAAGACTACAGAAAGCCTGTCAGAGTGCAGTTCTGCCATTGATCATAGATGATCCTTTAAGGTCCCTTCCAACCTAAACCATACTGTGGTTCTATGATTCTAGGATCACTTTTTACACTGAAATAGGAAAAAACAGGTCATGTGCATCCAGCATGGGAGTATTTAGTTTCAAGGAAGGCAATTAAATAAACTGAGGCAAGCATTACATTCAACAGTCTCCAGCAAAAAGGAGCAGACCCAAACCAAAGGAGCCTGCCAAGCATCCTGGATGCTGTTCAAAAATACCATGTTATAATTCCACACTAGAAGATGCCACAACTCAAGAAGAAAAAAGGTTGCCCCCTCATAGGATGAGCCTAGTATTTTGGGGTGCAGTCTTGAGCATGCCTAAGGCAACCACAGAGAAACTCTGTCCTGGGAGCAGGTTGCTGGCTAGGAAATTGCAGCCCACTTTTTCAATGAGTAACAAAGCAGAACAAGCTCAGTTATTCAGCACTGCATTACTGCGGTGTCACTGCCCTTGGTTTTCAGCATCTTTTGGAGAGACATGGATGTGTGGCTCAAACTGATCTAACTTCAGTGTTCAGAGTCAGTCATCAGATCAGTCTGCTCAGCCATGTAGTTACAGCTCTGGCCCATGGGGACTTGTTCTTGGCAGTGGTTTCCTACTGTTTCAGTTACTGCTGAAACAGGTTTTTTACTTGCTCCCTCTGCCTGGTGTCTATGACAGTCAGTCATTGAAGCTCCAGATTTTAGACAGATCCCTGCCTGAGCCGTGGAGGGACTGGCCCATATCACCTGCAGCTTATGAGGTCGATGACAGAGAAAGCTTCCCATCTCACATTTGCTGGTTATTGTAGGAAGCACATTTAAACACATTTCCCAGTATTGACATTGGTTATAAAACCAAAGCACAGGACCCAGAGAAGATTTCTCTCCCCTGACTGGAATTTGCTGTCTTTTTGATTTGCTGATTGCTGACTCTGACACAACAATGTTAGCCTGTAAGAGTCTTTAAAGAACACCAATTTCATTTCCCCTCTCTACAGCAGCTTAACATGCAGCAGCTTGACAGCAGCATAACGTGTTGGTTGCTCCCAGTGAATGTTGCTTCATTACCCTGAAAGTTCTTTGAAGTACCCAACACAGGGGTCCACGAGACACATCGCTTCTGTATCAGCAATGGTGACAGCCAGCAGAAAAGTGTCCCAGCACTTCCAAAATCCTTATTCAAAAGGCTAAACATGAACATCCTTATTCTCTGTTCACAGGTTTGGAGGCAGTGGCTAAGCTTGGCCTGCCTCGCACCCTGGTCACCAGTCCAGCTCTTCTCATCCACCCCTGAGTGGCTGCAGCGCCATTTCCCTCTCCCTGTTCTCAGAATGAGTTTTAGACCCATTGCAAGAGTAATGAATTGGGTTATTATTCAAGTTGCAGGTTGCTGAGCCCCATGGGAAAAGAAAGTATTTGGATTCAACATTTATCTTTATTTTCTTTCTTATTCTCAGTATTATTCTCAGTAAACCTTAATTTCCACCCAGACCCATCCACATTGATGAACACTTGCAAACAGAGCTTACAAACCCAGAGATAATTCACTTCAAATTAGAAGTTTGGATTCCTGACAGAGGGACAGATACTGAAACACTTTTAAACTTGAAGGAAACCCAGCATAAAGATGCAAAAGCTAAAGCAGGAAAGGTTGTGGGTTTTTTTACCAACACTCTTGTTTTGATACAGCCCCTAGGCTTGGGTACGTACCGGTCTGGCTCCCACTCAGAGGGCTGTTGACTAATGGAAAGCTGTTTTGTGCGCCTGCTATGGCTCTTGGAGTACTTCCCATACAGCCTCTCCTGCATGAGGCTGCTTTTCACCATGAAGGAGTCCCCAGCCTCACCATGCCTGTGGGCTCCAGGGCTTGGGTGACTAACAGAAGCATGTTTAGCATTGTCCTGTACAAGGCTGGCCATAGGAATGGACAGCTAGTGCAGAGACCAAAGGCTTGGCAAGGAGTCTCTTCATTGCCCTGCAGCCAGCACAATCAAGGGGAAGGATGAGTTTAACTTAGGGGCTTCACCACCATATTGGCCAGGGAGAGGGAAGGAGGTGGATAAAGGAGATGGGCAGAACACAGACAATGCACAGAGAGAGCTGCTTGTGTGCCCATGGTTGGGGGATGCACAAACAGCTCTGGGTTCAGCTTCAAATAGGAAGAGGCACGTTCCTCACCTGACACCTGAACATTGCTGGACTGTCCCTATCTGCTTTCAAAGGCCCCGAGCTTGTGGTGTCTTGTCCCAGCAGGTTCCCTGGAAGGCAATGCTGAGCCGTTGCTACCAGCACTGGTCCTGTCAGGGGACCTGAGGAGCTGCTCTGGGTACTACGATCACTACTGGGCTAGTCTATGTGGAGGAGAGGCTTGGTGGTGGTGTAGGTTTATGAGCTAGAACCCATGTCTCTTAAAGTACTGGGCTCGCCTAATCACACTGTTGACGTAGTAGCTGTCTCTGTCACAGGGGTCATCCTCGTAGACCTGGAAGTTGCCCATTTTTGCACGGTAGGTGCAGATTCCCCCTAGAAAAAGTTAATAAGTTGTTGTTACAGGCTTAGAAGTAAGAAACAAAGATTAAAAGGTAAAATTTCCTAGTTAAAAGGGCCATGCATCTCACCAAGCCAACACAACTGCTTGGGAAATCGCTCATTCTGCATTATGGTTGAAAAGTGACTAGTTCTGTAAAATCCTTATTTTGATACTGAAGGAACCCATGACTCTCTCCAAATGAAAGTGGGAATGGCATGGTGGTCCTAGAAAAGGGTGTAATCAAAAAAAGGTAGTGGCAGAACAAGGATGGCAAATTAGGAAATAGTGCAGGGTGAACAAACCAGCACACAGATAACATGGACTGCAGGCAGACCTGGATCCCAAGCTTCCTTCACACAAGTTAACAGCATGCCACAATCAATCTGTTACGTTGCGATACCTCAATTTCTGCCTTCCCCAGTGGCTTTTGTTTGGCTGCTTTGCACCTTATTTGTCCACCTGACAGCTATTTCACTCGTAGGATGAACAGAAAAGAGGAAGTTTGGCTGCAAGGCTGGGCTTGTTTCATGCTGCTTCCTACTACAGTAAAGCTGCCAAGGAGCTTAGTGTCCCACCACAGTCTCTCTTCGGTAGGCAGAAACATGGAGGCTCTGTGGACAGCACTTTGAGCTGGGAGGCTGCATCTGTATTCAGACCTCTTGCTGATCTGTTGCTTTGGGATTGCCTCTTTTCAAATAGAAAACTCCAGTTTGGTGTGGGTTTTTTGTTTGTTTGCCTGTTGTTTTGACAAGAGATGCTGTAAAATCTGCTAGAGTGATGCTCTTAAAAGTGATGCCAACAAATGCACAGCACACCCATCATTCAGCATATCCCTTTCTAGTACAAAGCCCCTCACATACCTCTCAGCTGCTGGTCCCACGTCCAGGTAGGATGTCTTGCCCGTACTTCATTAATTGAAAGAACCAGAATAGTTGAGCACTGATTTATATGTTCTTCACTATCCCACAGTCCAAAAGGCTGTTGATGCACACCAAGCTAGAAAAGTCAAGCAAGAAAATGGGTTTTCCTCTGAACACAACCACAGCTCTATCATCTTCCCTGTCTTCTTTGTACTCCCAGGCTGTGACTCATTGAAGTGACCTTACTCAGGGCAACACTTAGGCACAACCTTTGATGTAGAAGGAACAAATTTAAGTGGTGTCCTGAACACAGAACAGTCATTTACTAAGGTAAGGCCCTGGGATAAATAGTACATTACTGTTCTGTTACTCATACTCATCATCCCCACGTACCTGCATCAAGCCGTACTTGTGCCGTTCCTGATCCCAGCCGTTGTCTAGGAGCAGACCAACACGGCTTTCTTGCGAGATGATGCCAGCAATGAGTGCTGGCTCCAAACACAGGTTTCTGGCTACTCTCTTAATCGGGATCTCGTATTTCCTCAGGCGTATGATGTCTGCTTCAACAGAGCTCCGTACCAGGGCAAGTCCTGTGTGTTAGGAAAGGGCAGACTCACACACCCTCCTGTCCAAAACCCTCGCTTCACCTTTGAGTGGTGTTTCAAAGGAGTAACTCAAGTGCTGAAGTAAACACAGCTACACCAAGTTGGGCAGTGGCGCCTGAGGAACAAGCATTGACTCTGCGGCCAGAGAACCCAAGGATGATGAGGGGAAGAGGGCAGCTTCTCAGGAGGTGGGACTGCATGTTCATGGGCTACTCCTGCTGCTGCATGGCTGGAAATGTGGCTCTGGAGTCAGAAAAGTGCAATTCAAAATGCATTTGAAAAGACTGTGAGGCTGACTGACTGTCCAGGTGGGGCTTTCTCAAAGGTAATTTTGGAACAGTTTGGAAACAAGCAAGCAGGTTCAGATCCATACTTGGACACCCGCAGTCAGGTGTCTGCCCTGGAGCTGCCTACATCCGATGTATGTGGCAAAGTCCCTGGAGATCTCAGCAGTATGAACCTGATGTAGTCAGCTTTGTAATGATGGGGCAGTAACACAAGACAAGAATGAGGGAAATGGGAAGGAGTTACCAGAAAAGGGTCATCCAGAGGTAGGACAGCTGTGCATGTGGGACCTTCCTCCTGCAAACTATGCCTCCGGCTAGCGGAGCTGACATGCCAGCACTCAGGGCCTGGCTCTGCACATCTTCCCCTTTGAGCAGACAGGCTCTGGGGTTTTGTGAAGATGCTAAAGTCCTGGCCGATGAAGAAACCATTTTAACTGAAAAGGGGTTGCACCTTTTCCCTTTGCTTAGCAGCTGAGGATCCTGACTATGGGACCTGGAATTTGTCCTCCCACTTCCCACCAGGTCTGGGGGCTTCACAGCACCTGACATTTTGGGAGAGGAGGTGTTGCTTTCTCTCCTTCGGCTAATTGAGTAGCTGCAACACATTTAATTTGGTAGCAGACAAAGCATCTCTCTGTAAGGTACAAACAGGTTGACAAATCAAGCAATGAATTATACCTACCACAATCCGAGGCTCTTACAGCTGTACAGGGGACCAGTGGGGCTTGAAGAGCACTTATATCACCATAGCAACTGTAACTCATGGATGGAGCTGAAAAATTAAATACAGGTGTTTAAACGCGTAAGATCTCAGGGTGATACTCTACAGTGTGCTGCAGGTCCATACAGCATGAGGGATTCATGCAGACCAGTAATCCACATCACCCTGTGTTGACCATGCTTGTACGGTTGCCACTGCTCTCCATTACTAACATCAAAGACAGGTAGAGAACAGAAATTGTTCTTTTCTAATTGCATAGGTTGAAGTGAATGTATCTAATGACAATTTAGATGAATAGGCATCTGCCTTGTTAGGTCCAAAGGCTGGTGTGGGAGAGGGGAACCACAGCCTCTGCAGTTATTTCAGAGGGTGCTCTCCATCTAATGCCCAAAAATATCTGTGACCCCTCGGGTGATGGCTGGTGGTACCCGAGCACCCTGGCTGGGAGCATCTTCTATGACCCTCTATAACTTGGTAAGGAATTAATTCAGGAGAGTGCTTGCCTCAGCCTGGGCAAATTACTCTGCTTCCTCAGTTCCGGAGGAATGAATAGCCTCCATCAAAGAGCTTGCCACATTGGTGGGATCATTTCTGGGCAGGCGGGGATCAGAGAAAGTTAGGTGGTAAAATCAAGAGAAGGTATGTCTGTGACTCCCTTTTGGTGTCAGTCCCACACTCCAGACATGCTGGTCTGGGATGCACGTGAACAGCAAGCAGCCTCATAGAGCAGCCGAGGACCATCAGTCACATGGGGCTTTACAGCGCCGTGCAGAAAGGGGACCTCAGGCCTGAGTGTACACCTCCTCTCTGCAGTCCCTCTTCAAACAGTTCCTTGGTGTTTTTGACAGCAACCCGAACCCAAACCCTGGCTCACCAACAAGGGCCATAAGGCCCAGCAAGAGCAGTGCAGGAATCATGGCAATGGCTCTCCTCAGCTGCCCCAGCAGACCTGGAAACACAGCAGTTTGCAGAACAGGAATGAATCGGTGCTCATTTTCAACACCCCGTAGCAAAGTCTGCATGCCAAAAGCTCCCAGACAGGTGCAGATAGGTTGGAGAGTGAAGACACCCTCTCTGCAGCATGTCCTTCCCCTCACCCCCAGCATGGGATGCAGCCACCAGCTTCAGAAAGTGGAGGTGGGAGGAGAAGCAAGTGATGATCCTTATCTGATCCTTATTTCCTCCTTGTTTGGGGACACAGGCTTCTCCTGTCATTGAATGTCTCCTCCATCTCATGTGCCATTACACCACCACATTGAGAGGGGAAGGCCATGCCTGGGGAGCCTGGGAGCAGGGAGGTCCCTGTCAGCTGCCTGGGCCAGCAGGGATTTTTTTAGCCCGTCACTTCTCATTGCTTGCTCACATGGCTCCTCCCATAGCATGAGAACACCCATAGCTTGTCTTTAGGATGAGCAGGTGAGGTACTTTTGCTTTAAATAACTGTCTGAAGTCTAACGTGCTAGAGTGCACACATCTTTTGTGTGTCTGTTGGAAAGGCAATGAGATTTTTTGCTTGCCTTTTGGAAAAAACATGTTTTCAAAAATGAAGCAATATGACCCTTAATTCTCTGCTAAGGTATGCGAGGTAGCTCCAACATCCATCTGATGAAATAATACTTCTGTGATAATTTATGTGATTCTGTGATCTGCGATACTAGTGGCAGATAATTGCTTTACTGATCAATGCATTCATTGTGCTTGTTAATAGAATTCAAAACTGTTACCAGATAAAAGCTATCAATTACAGAAGACATTGACTGTATTTGCCTTGCTGCTAAATGCATTTAAACTGAGCAGGTTTTATGGTTTACAAAAAACTTGTTCCCAAGAGGGTTTTGAATGCAAAACGTGCCACAAGTCTTGTAGGCAATCATCACACAATGCAGTTAACACTTGAAAACCCCTTTCCGATTTTAATACTAATTTTAATAATAATTATAACAATAATTTTAATAATAGTTTTAATAATATTTTAGTACTTAATTTTAATCTCTTTAACCTGTATTTCTACTGCAAACCAGGCTGCATGGGTGCAGAAACACGAATAGTTCAGCAGTGTCATTGGAAATACTCTGTTGTCCTGAGAAGGCTTATTCAGGCCAACAAACGCCCATGGCCAGAGCTGGGTACATGCAGTAGCTCAGTTGGAACTTTATCGCTAGCCCTGATTATTCACAAGCCCAGATCAATATAGCTTGATCCAATACCTGTGAATTCAATGGAAAATCCATACACGGCCCCATTGAAAGCTACACACTGTTACTATTTCCACATGTACGAAATTGATAGATTATATAGTTATAAGTTATCAGCCTTATTTTTTCCCTCCCATCACATAAACCATCACAGGCCTAGGCAGAAACAGTGCAGCAATCACAATATTGACAAGATGCTAAATCAAAACAAAATCAAAGCTTCTGGCTCTGAATGAATAGTCTATGAATGAATTCCGACTCACCTGTCTTCAGTCAGCCTTCCTCTGAGGCAGGTCACTTGATGACATTTATATATATGTGTATGAAAAGGTACCCACCCTGTGGGCTTAGGAATCTTAATTCCTACCTAGTATGATGACATTTGTTTTAAAGTGCAATAAGTAATACATATTAAGAGCTTAGAACTCTGATGATTCCTTTCATCCACAGATTTGTACAAGCAGTGGTTAGTAATACTATGGACAACACTGAAAGGAAATAAATACTGGTTTTCCTCCATCAGTGAGAACATTGATGCACAATAAATGGCTTGCAGAAAGCATTGCAGTGAATCAGTGGTAAAGGCCAGGCAAAAATCAGATTCCTGCCTAGCGCTCTCCGTGCTTTGCATCTGGGATTAGTCTGGACACATTTCTGGAAGGATTTATTGCCTCATTTCCACAATGATTTCAGATTGGCAAGCTTTTAAATAGGTATTATGCTTTCATATGAATTCTAAAAAGGACAATTAAAGGAAAGCATCTCTGCTTCATTGCTTACAGCAAGCTTAATTCAGGAGAGTAACTTGAATACTTTGAGATCAGAGGCAGGGTTTGCCTTTCAGATTTGGAGAGGCAGGATGCTGTAGCTGAAATGAGGAGGAAAGGAACTGGTCTCTCAGCAGCTGAAGCCAGTGGGGGCACACGGTGGGTCTCTGAAAGACTTGCACCTTATAGCTGCAATACTTTTCATCTATGCAAAACATCTGAGACACTTGGAGATGGAAAGACGGTCTGGGAGGTCAGAGCCCTTCAATCCTGTCGCCTTCCCCGCACTTTTCACTTCCCGAGACTGTCCAGTATGTGTGGAGTCTAGGAATGCAAGATTTCCTTCCAGTAGCTTTCTCTTCATTATTTAATACATCACAAATCCATCTATTCCCACTGCTCTCTTCTGGGCTTGAGTAGTATCCAGGAAACACGGTTTTGGCCAGATACTAATTACTGGGTTCAAAACCAAGCGAGATCAAGAAACCAGAAGATGGTCAAATGCACTTTGTCACCTTAAAAATCAATAAAGACCGATATCACAAAGATAATAGACATCTTCCCAAAGATTACAGCAAGGCTAGGCATTTATTCTTCATGTACAAACTTGATGTCTTATTGTGGTATCTCAGACTAGACTATCACTAATTCTTTTACTGAGGATTAACATTTTAAACAGTAAAGGTACTGCTTGGCATAATGTAAGATAAGAATCTTAGAATCACAGAATGGTTCGGATTGGAAAGGACCTCAAAGGTCATTGAGTTCTAACACACCACCATGGACAGGGGCACCTTCCACTAGACCAGGTTGCTCCAAGCCCCATCCAACCTGGCCTTGAACACTGCCAAGGATGGGGCAGCCACAACTTCTCTGGGCACCCTGTGCCAGTGCCTCACCACCCTCACAGGGAAGACAGTCTAAGAGCAGAATAGAACAGGAGAATCTATGTGGTATCTTTGGAAATAACAGGTAGAAAATAGAGACATCACATGTACAGGGTGGCTTTAATCCTTCCAAAAGGAGCTAGTGACTGAAGAAACAGAGGACAGGAAAGCCAGAAGAAATGAGATGGGGAAAGCTCAGGTGCACTGGAGCCATCAAAGTGAATGGCAACAAACCCAGTAGCTATATTCATTTGCCTTCTGTAGAACGAGACAATTTGTATTTGAAAGAGATGTGCTCTCTCAAATAGATGAAAATGATTTAGTATTAACACCCAGTTACCTTTCATAAAAACAGTATCATGTTAGTGATAATAAACTAGGGTTCCTCTGTCACTGAACCTGTGGTCATAATGATCACTTGGCACCTTGTTTTGAGAAGTAGCCTCTGACCTCAGGTAAGATTTATTTCCTAATGTGTTGTCCGCTTGCTGATGGTCCTTAAGATAAAGTTTTGACTTTAAATACTCTTTGTCTTTGCTACGTGTTTTCTTTCTCATTTATTACTTCTGTAATATCACAGATTTTCTACACTTCACAGTACTGCCTCAGGAATTCTTAATGCCTTTTCTGCATTGTTTTGCTCTTTACTTACTCATTAAAAGGTGGATGTCATGTTTTAAGTACAATTATTTTTATCTGTGCTGCTGTATTCTTTTAAGTGCCTGGGACAGATTCCTTGTATTCACACAATTTCCAGTATAAGGCCAAATAAGAGGATATTGTTTTATCAACATTAGAAATTGGACATTTTCTAAAACCTCTTTATCCCCACAAAATGTGCTGACTGCCTTCAAAGTGAATGGTGAAAGCAGGCAGCCTCTGTGGTAAACAGGTCGTGCTCATATATATTGAATGGGGCAAGATTCTAGGGCAGTGCTCTTGTCCAAGGCACCACCATGTAAGGAGACCTACAGAGTGTGAGGAAACTTGATCTGCTCAGAGGTCTTTGTGGGGCTGTAAACCCGGAACACTGAATTCAGGTGAAGCACTTAATGAGAGTGCTAGTAAAGCACAAGTTTTAATTTTTATGCTAAGCTTAATATGGAAAATTATGTCAAGAGTCAGATAAGGGCTGCTTCTGACAGCCCATAATGCGACAGAAGGGATCTACACAGCTGCCCTTGCTAGGCTGCAGAGGGGATGAGCAGTAGTACATCTTTGTGCGTGTGACTAAAGCAGCTCTTTCTAAATGGCTGGACTTCATAAAGAGATATCCAGGAATGTGCTGGACTGATACCCCTGAGAAATGTTACTTTCTCTCATAACACTACCGTACCTCTTTCTATGTTTTGATTCATTATTCTTGGTGTTTTGTTTAGAAGCCTGGGTTTTTTGATTCATCTATATTGCAAGACTCATTCACAAGGACAGCGAGTTGCTAGCCCTCACGCTTGGTGGTAAGGAAAATACATGAAAGCCATAGAAATATGATGTTATTAAATTACTATTAAAGAAAAAGGACACAAATGTTGTAATTAAAAAAACCCAACAAAACACAACAAACAACAACCCTATAATTTTCAACTCCTTTTCCTGTTGTGTAATCTTTAAACATAAAGAATGCCAGTACATACTCCTCGTGCTGGATCTTGGTCATCACAGCGTGTGATTGGGAGGAAGGAGATGGAAAGTCAAGGGAGGAGGAGGCGATCACTTATCAAATGATACGTGCATCATCTTATACTTAAGAAGCAGGAAGGTTTCCTGGTATTCACAGGGTTACACTGGCAAGAAGCCCCACTCAGTGACCACATCGGTGACCACAGACATGGTTTCCCCATGGTCTTCCACTGATGCTGTTGGTTACACTGAGCTAAAGGGTGCGCAGAGTGGACAAAATTGCTACCTGACAGAATAGTGTTTGCCACTTGTTTTACATAACAGAGACAGGAGCATCCCTGTGACCTAAAGCACACCAAGGCTCAATACCAAAAGATCTCTCCTACTCACAGAATCATAGAATCAGAGAAGAGTTTGGGTTGGAAGGGACCTTAAAGCTCTCCCAGTTCCAACCCCTGCCATGGGCAGGGACACTATTTTTTTCCTCATGCCAAGGGATCTACCAGGGTGAGAGGGTTTTTTTATATCCTACTTAATGGAGATGCAAGGAGAATGGATCATCATTTTGAAAAGCATTATGCACATGCTGTTCTCCTTCAGGTTGCAGGTTACAGCATCAAATTTCACTGGGTGGCGAGAATACTATCTAAAATTACCCGGAACAATACCCATACTAATTACTGTCTCTGTTGTGAGTTTCAACTCCAGTTTCATAATATCATCAGGCAGATGCATTTCTCAGGATCTTCCTTTTGTCTGTGGTCTAATTATAGGTAACACCAGGCACTCACAGACTTTTTAACTGTTTTATAGGGAAGCTGCCCATGACAGCTGACGCATGTTGGATGCCTACCACTAACTGGCCAGTTAAAGATGCATCTGTAGCATCATCCCAAACAAACCCTCTAGAGTTATCTTTCTCAACTTTTAGAGGGATACAGCCTTTTCAGTAATTACCTTTCCGAAGTTTTTCTTTTTTACGTCTAATACACTGGTAAGTAATGATACCAAAGGTCTTCAAGGTTGTAAGACATGAGGCTCTCAGTTTTCACTGTGTTCTTTCTGAAGAACATAGGTGGACATTGAAATGACATCCCACTCTGCGCAAAGTACCTCTCTAGCCATCACATAAAACAACTCAGATCAGGACTGTTTATGAGTGAGGAAAAAAGTATTTTCCTCTGTTCTCTAAAATGAGACTTTGAATTTTACTCTAGGAAACGTGTTCTAGCAAAGAGGTGACTGGACTGAATCATATGAGACTTCAGTTCATAGCCCAGCTTAAAGACAGATCTATCACCTAAAACAAGTAATTTGAAGTCTGAGCCAGGAGAGGGTCCTGCACCTGCATCAGGGCAATCCCAAGCACAACAACTGGGTGGAGAATGGGTTGAGAGCAGTACCAAGAAGGACTTGGGGATGTTGGTCGATGAGAAACTTAACATGAGCCGGCAGTGTGCACTCACAGTCTGGAAAGCCAAC